AATTGGTTGGCACGATGATAACGAATGAAACGGGAGACGGCCGTCCGGTTAACTGGCGGCCGATGCTCATTAATCATAATCGCCAATTTGTCAAATTAAACTACATAATTTTACGAACCGGCGCAATAAACATACACTTATGCCTGTTCCAATTATGTCGACCGATCGAGTAGGTCTGGTGCTCTCGATACACAGCCCCCCGAGCAGCGTCGCGCCAAAACGACGCCGACGAAAAATCGATCGAGGGCCGAACGTAATCCGGGCGCGCGATCGAGCGTTATTGAACGGCGAATCTCTCTCGTCGACCGGAGAAACTGGATTCCGGGGAGGATCGGGCGAAATGACGTCGCGGTTTGCCATCTTCGTGTCCGACCATTCGCGGGAATAATCCCCTTTAACTGGCACTGGAAGTAATAGGTGGGGCGCGCTCGCACGCGAGAGAGGAACGTCGTCGGGCGCGCAATTGCCGCCTTTTTTGTTCTAATAAACGTTTGTTTCTTTAACACGTGGCGTCGTAACGCCATGACGAGAAAGGTGGAGAGAAGAGATCCGCGGGTGGGAGGGGGAGACCGGAGCCGGGAAAACGTTCCGCAGGAAAGGGTGGGCGTTCTCGCGAGCGCGATGTAAGTAATTAACGACACGTTTATACGATATCGTTTGCTGCGAGAGGGCTGCGGCGGCCGGGCGCCAATGAAGAACCCCGCTAATAGGAAGTGCTAACGGTGATATTCCCGAATGCGTTCCCGCGCGCCCGGGAGTCGTTCCGACCCTCTCTTCGCTCCCCCCCTCTCACCACCGTAGCTGCTCTCGCGGCCCTCAGTCCACTGTAATTCTTCCATTAATTTTTGCTGAGCTCGAGACTAGTTAATATGCATTAAAAAGGGTTAATAAAAGTGGCGATGGAGCAGGTCGCGAGAATACCGCCGGGTCGGGAAGAAACGATATCGCGATGCTCGTAAAGGCGATCGGTCGTCTCCTTCACGCCTTCACGCCGCGTTTTCGATTGTCGATCACGGCGCGACGGCGAACGAGTCGTATTTTAAAGGCATTACATGGACTCGGAACACGACGGCGGTCGCTAAGAGTTTTCCGTTTGCGTTCTTCCTGAGAGATATCGCTCTCCCGCGACCGCCCGCGTGCACGGATTCTCGACGTCGCGCGCGCATATTTATCGCCGAAAAATGCAAAGGGGCAGGCGAGAATACTCAGCGCGCGGTGCGGCGTCGCGCGGACAAAGCGCCCCGGCGAAAGAGGGAACCGATATTTCGAGGCGGAAGCGTCGTTTTCGAGTCGTCGTGCCATTGTTCGCTGTGGGAATAATAATTGGTCTCCCCGGTAATCCTGGAAGGGCGGCGAGGTGGCTGGCGTGGTTCAGGGTTCGCCGGCAGAAGCCGACGACGGTGCAGAAGGAAGAGCGACGAGCGGGGTCGTCGGTGGCAAAAGGGAGAAAGCGGGGATCTACACGGGCGAGGCGAGACGAGGCGAGGGAGAGCGGACGAAGGGGGTGGAGAGCTGGTTTCTGGCTACGGATAGTCGCAAATCACTTTAACTGCGCGAGGAGCAGTTTGGAGCCGCTAATGGCGTCAAGTGTCTCAGATACCGCGGCTTCGGGGTCGTCCGGCCGGTCGTCGACGAGCCGGTGTTCTCCATCGAGAACGAAGACGCCGAGAAGGCGCAACCCCGAGCGCCCGTGGGTTGGGAAATGCGTCATGCGCTTTTATTGTTACTCACGACGGATGCGAGATATGTCGAGTCGGTAAAATGAGTCAGTCTCGCGTATCCTTTTTCGCCGAAGGATTATCCTCGTCGACGCCAATAAAATGTGTTATTATTTGACATAATTAAAAAAAGCGAGAGCATGTGTATAATATCACTAGATATGAATATATAATCATACAATTACATTTTTTCTTTTGTCTCAATTTTTGTGTTGCTTATGTAGCACCTGCACGCATAATTTATGCACTCCGAAATCAGCGAAATTTAAGCACGTTATCCAACACCGTCACCTGCGCTTGTGCTAAATACTAACAAAACAGACTTTGTATTTTCGACTTTTTGGCGATGTCGCAGCGTCGGCAGCGCACGCGGCGGTTTTCTAGGGAGACACGGTCGCTTTTCAAAGGGCGGTAAAACGGCCGCTCGGAGGGGCCGCTATGACGGTACCGCGTTTAATGTCCGAGCGAACGGTGGCCCGTCCTCACACACAGCGGGTAGTGTCCGCCATCCGTTACATCTATAAATCTAAGATAACAATATTGCCACCACCACCACCACTACTAGCACCGAGCGGCACCATCGCTATCGTCGGCATCGTCGCCATCGCCACCGCTGCTGCCCCGTGTTAGGGGGGCCTGTAATGAATGTTTGTTCAGCGACCATTAGCGCCGCGCCCGGGATAGTACATCGTGCCGGGCCCCACAAAACCATTTTACGCACATGGGGACGCGCTCCGCGGTGTCGCTCGTCTCGATGCCGAAGACCGTTTGCATGCACGATTCGAGGTGTCGTCAGAATTTTATAACTCTTAATATCACGCTAAATTCACTTAAAAGATGACATACTTTGACTGTCCATTTCTATTCTAATTTAATTAAAATTAATTTATTAGAAGACAAACGATGTGATTTTCCTAAATCCTGCCAGCAAATCTATTCGATTCATTTTTACTTTTCAAATATAATCTGTAGATATTGCTCTTCTTTTTAAATGTTCCATATTTTTCTCGATTTTTTAATAAACGTCCATTTAAATTGTACATAAAAAATAAACAGAAGGGCTGATAAGATTAAAAACCTTTGACATGTGATAAACTTAACCAGATTGTGGAAGCGCTCGATAACTATGTCGACTTAAAATTTAATAATAATTCCTATTATACGAGAATTTACAATGCGCAAGCGCTATGTAGAATGCAGGCCACATTCGGAATATAATCTAACATTTATAATTCATCGAACCAGACGTGCAAATTACGGTTCCTCGTTAATTAAATCAGACATCCCGTGTCGAACGTGTTCGGAAAATCGGACAATCTGGGAAGCAGCTCTTTTAATGACAATCCAAATACGTGCGCGTCAGCCTCCTTTATAACGAGAACAAAAAAAAAAAAAACGCGATTGCACGCGCGATTGGTTCATTCAGTCGAGTTTATTTGGGAAACCGCGATTTCGCGTTTTACACGACATAGTGAGCTTTTCGTGCTTGCCATCATATATACAAAATATATTACCAACTTGCGTATCTGTGTAATCGACACTGACCCGCTCACATCTACATCGGAGCCGTCGGTACCCTACGGGTATTTTTGGCAATAAAAAGGCATGTATAAAAAAAATGCTCTGTGACCGGTGCGCACAGGTGTGAGTGAGCGGCGGGGATCGCGAAGGGGGATCGACGGGGGCGCGGTAGCGGGCTGAAATCGACATCAGCGGCCAGCGCAAAATTTATTTATTATTTTTGTCGTGCAATTTTGTATCGTGCCCAACTGCGGTGAAATTAAATTATTATTTTGCCGGTATAAATCATCGGTCGTTCGAGAGAGGGATGACCAGTGAGTGAGAGCGGGATAAAAGAGAAAAGGGGGAGAGGGTGAGGGGGGAGAGCGGGGAGCGGTCAGCGGAGAGTGGATGAGCAGTGAGAGAAAGAGAGCGCGGACGGGAAAGGTTT